GTAGAGTTGGGATTCAAATGTGAATACAAAATGCTTAATGAACTCTCAGCCCAGTTTCACTCCTGGCAGTTCTCCCTCCTTATCTCTGGCTTTGCCCAGCTTTCATTACCTACAGGAAGACTCATTCAGTCTTGTACAAACTTCCCAAGCCCCTTACTGCAAAGCAAGACCTGCTTCTACTCCATTGTCCCATCTGTTATTCAACTTGGATTCAGCCTCATAATTGCCTACTACTAAAAGTAAGCAAGCCATTATCCTTGGAGTCTCAGTCTCTTATCCTCTACCCTCTCTCCCCAGTCTGGTGAGCTAGGAAAATACCCTTTCCAAATGTCCTTGGAAAATAATCTTTTATTGCTTGGAATAAAAGATTAGAATCCAAGGCCTAGTCATTGTAGGCATTTAACAAGTACAACAATTATGATTATGTGTATTATTATTAGTGAAAAAAGGAGGAGAAACAGTAGGTTAAAGGTATTCTACAGACTGTGCAATGCAGAGACTTGAAGGGAGGCTGAGATCTGAGTAGGATCTATAGATTATATAGTTGTACTATATCTATTTTTACTTCCTGATTTCAATTACTATGATGTCATTATGTAAGAAAATTATTTTTATTTTTAGAAAATGCAAGGTATTTAGGGAGTAAAGGAACACCATGAATACAACTTACTTTTTTTTAAGAGGGAGACTCACTCTTTTTTTTTTTTAGTTGTAGATGGACACAATAACATTATATATTTATTTGTAAGTGGTGTTGAGGATCAAACCCAGTGCCTCACACATGCAAGGCAAATGTTCCACCACTGAGCTACAGCTCCAGCCCTACAACTTACTCTTAAATCATCAGCGTGTGTGTCTGTGTGTGTGTGTCTCTGTGTGTGCGTGCACACATACACATACATACTAAATATGTGAAAAATAAAATAAATACAGCAAGGCAAATTTAAGGAACCCAGATGAAAGGTATCCAGGAATTCTTGTACTGTTCTTGCAATATTTTTGTAAATCAAAAATTATAGGGATAGAAAAGATTGTAAGGGACTGGGGTTGTGGCTCAGAGTAGAGTGTTTGCCTGGCATGTGTGAGACACTGGGTTTGATCCTCAGAACCACATAAAAAAGCAAAATAAACAAAATAAATGTATTGTGTCCATCTACAACTAAAAATATTTTTTAAAAAGAACAAAAAAAGATTGTAGGGACAGGGCACTGAGGTAATGAATGCAGCATGCTCAGTGAAGGGCATGGCACAGGTCTCAAGTCCAGGCTTCCCCTTGGATTGTTAGGCCCTAGAAGAAAAGTCCCTCTGCATACAGAACTTGAGCAACAGCTTCCATGACCAAAGGTCCAGGCCCTATGAGTTTGGTCCACTGGAGAAAGCAGATACCCATCTACATTTGTAGCTTTCCCCAGCTCACAGGAGGTGCCTGCCTCCAGTACAAAGCAGAACCCCAGAGTGGGGCACATGAAAGTAAATCAAGGGGTATATCCCCAGGAAACCTAGTTCAGATGGGGAGATCCACCATACTGTGGGTCCTACTCCACACCCCTTTGTCAGTTAACCAAGACTCTGACCACTATTTCACTCAAAACATAATGTGAAATAGATGAATGGATAAAAAAAATGTGGCATTTATACACAATGGAGTATTACGCAGCACTAAAAAAAACAAAATCGTGGAATTTGCAGGGAAATGGATGGCATTAGAGCAGATTATGCTAAGTGAAGCTAGCCAATCTCTAAAAAACAAATGCCAAATGTCTTCTTTGATATAATGAGAGCAACTAAGAACAGAGCAGGGAGGAAGAGCAGGAGGAAAAACTTAACATTAAACAGAGACATGAGGTGGGAGGGAAAGGGAGAGAAAAGGGAAATTGCATGGAAATGGAAGGAGACCCTCATTGTTATACAAAATTACATATAAGAGGTTGTGAGGGGAATGGAAAAAAAAAACAAGGAGAGAAATGAATTACAGTAGATGCGGTAGAGAGAGAAGATGGGAGGGAAGGGGAGGGGGGATAGTAGGGGATAGGAAAGGTAGCAGAATACAACAGTTACTAATAGGGCATTATGTAAAAATGTGGATGTGTAACTGATGTGATTCTGCAATCTGTATACGGGGTAAAAATGGGAGTTCATAACCCACTTGAATCTAATGTATGAAATATGATATGTCAAGAGCTTTGTAATGTTTTGAACAACCAATAAAAAAAATAAAAAAAACATAATGTGAACCTTCAAAACTTACATGGGAAAGGGATATTGAAAAGGGTCACCCTCATGGTCAGGTTTTCATGACCTGATTAGTCCAACCACCAGGACTTAGGTGCATATATTTCATAGATTTTTCTTTCTTTCACCTTTTTATCTTCTCTTCCCTCTCCCTCTCCCTTGCCTTTCCCACACATGCTAGGCAAGCTCTCTAGCACTGTACTACTGAGCTATATCCCTAGCCCAAATGCACAGATTTGATACCATCAATCCAAGTTCTCAGCAGACCCAACTCCCAGGAACACTGCTCATTACCTTCACCCTTCACTGAGGTATCCCAGCTCAGTGACACTGAGTTCTTTAGACCACAGGGAAGAAAGACATAGTCTGCCACCAAAGGTTGGAGTTCTGCCACTGGCTACATTAGAGGACAGGAGGGTCAGGGACAGGAGTAGACTTGGGCAGGAAAGCGATCATAGCCAAGACAGGCTGATGAGCCAGGTAGGAACTTTTGGAATTAATGAGACAGATGTCCTCATTTTGAGACTCCTTTCCCGGCAAAGGCGTCCCAGAAGCTGTATTTGTTCTGGAGACACTCCTCCCCAACTGGGAAGCTAGCCATATTGGACAAAGGCCAGGAATTTGGAATTGGGATATATGGTCATTTAGGCCAGTATCTTGTGCTGATTATGATACCTGATGGTTATGTGGCTTCTCTATACAGAAAGTGGGGAAAAAAAAGTCTACAGAGAAAAAAAGCGGTGGGCAGAAGGGTGTGCAGGGGTGTGCCCTGCTCCACAACTGGCATGCATCTCTATGTTAGTTTTTTCATCCCTGTGACCAAAGTACCTGACAAGAACTATTCAGAGGAGGAAAAGCTTATTTGGGGCTCACAGTTTCAGAGCTTCTGTCCATGGTCAACTGGCTCCATTGCTCTGGGCCTGAGGTGAGGGAGAATATCATGTCAGAATCACACGGTGATGGAAAGCTGTCAGTTTATGGCAGCCAGGAAGCAGAGAGAGAATGAGCAACAAAGTGCCAGAGAAAAAATATAAACCCCAAAGGCACATTCTCAGTGACCAACTTCCTCCAGCCACACCCTACTGCCTATAGTTACCACCCAGTTAGTCCATTCAAATTATTAATCCTTCAAGTTGATTAATCCACTGATGAGATTACAGCTCTCATAATCTAATAATTTTACCTCTGAACATTTTCTGCATTAACACAAGAGCTTTGGGGGACACCTCTTATTCAAATCATAAAACCTCCCACAACCTCAAAGCATCTGGATTTCCCCTGAAAACAGGAGGATGATGAGAAAGGGCAAGAAAATTAAATTTACTTTTTGAAAAGCTAAGAGCAAACACAACTTAACAAATGAAGGCAGCAACCATAGAGGAAAAGTCCTCAAAAAGAAACTATAGTGCAGGCCATGATACTGCCAGTCCAGACTGAGCCATGTGGTGCCCCAGACCTGAGCAATCAAAGAACATGCCTGCTGAGGCAGTCACTGGTTAACATATGGACACCTGATCCAGGCCTCTGCCAATCAACACTGACCATTTGATAGGCTCCTACCTCACACCAAATACAAAAACCTACTCCAGAGCCTGTTAAAGAAGAGGACTTTGGAAAAAGGTAAGAACAAGAGGTATAATCTCAGAATGGCTGGGTGTGCACTCAACACAAACCAACCCAGAAAGACTGAAGTGTTGAATATACCTTTTAAACTTTTGGGGAAAATATTAGAAGCAAATGTGGAAGAACATTTTTATAATTTTGAGATGAAATGCTTTTTTAAACAAGATTTGAAGCCTCCAAATAAGAAAATGAAGATTGAAATTCATAAAAACCGAATACTTTTGTATGATGAAAGACATTGTTAATCAAGTTTTAAGTTAAGCAATAGACTGGGAAGATAGAACATATTTGATAAACAAAATTTATAGGTATTGTAGGTGGGTTCTAAAAAAATCACAAATCAATTAATTAGTAGAAAATACTTTAATAGTAATGGTTATAATATAAAATATCCCTAAAGGAAGAAATGTAACAATGAATAAACATATGAACAGGTATCCAGCATTTTGCAATTCAAAAAACAATTATGTGTGTCTGGTTCTCAATTCCAATAGTTTAATGAAGATCTAAATAAAATGCTAGGTTTAAAAGAAACCAATGAGATCAGTAAAAACCATAAAGTTTTATCATCTCAAACATAGACCAGGATGTAGCCAAATGTTGGCAAAGAATTCACTGGTGAAGCCATTAGAGAAGGTAATATTGTTCTATCAGTCAAAATGTTAAATGTATACAGTATTTCAACTAGTAATTCAGCCTCTATAAACTCTCTAGAAGAAACATTTGCACATTTTTACTCAGCTGAAATACTAAGATTTCTATCTCAGTCTTGTTGATGATATTAAAAACTGAAATTGCCTCCAGGACTATAAATAGGAGGTTGATTTTATAATATAATACATCCATCTGGAGAGATCTTACTGCTGCTCCTCCTTGCTTCCTCTGCCAAAGCTCCCTCTGCTTGGTTCTGAGTCCTCTTTGCTCTCTCTACTGGACACCATCCAATACGGTAGCCACAACCCACATTGAGTGCTTAAAAAACAGCCAAACCTAATTGAGAAGTACTGTGAGTGTGAAATACACACCAGATCTGTGTCCTAGGTCAGAAACACCACATTTTGTTCCAGACCATTAAATGAAACCCCAAGCCAGCACCTGAGGTTGCTCCAGCACCCTGGCCTCCTGCTTCTCCACCAGGTCTTCCTACTGCACTGCTGATGTCTCCAGAGGCACTTGAGCTGCAAGGATGAGAGATTAGGTGTGCATCCTGGGCTGAAGCTTCTGAGTGGACCAGGAGAAGCATATTGGCCTCAGCTGGACTCATGTGGGCCAAGCCAAAACTCCTTCGTGGTCCTCAGCACACACTGTAGTGATAGCAGCCAAGATGCCAGCTCTTTTCCTCTGATTTTCAGACATGAAGATCGATCTCTGCTCATTATGACGTGAGTGTGGGAGACCCTGAGACACTGTCCTGGGAACTGAGCAGGTGGTAATGTCTTACTAGGCTGGAAATCACTGTGGTGACAAGGTGACGGAGTAGTCACCATGGTGATGGGGATGGAGGCCTTTGGCCATAAGTCCCAGTTTTCTGCATGGCAGCTCTAATGACAGAATGGTCACTATGGCAACCACGGCCCTCTCAGGAGCACAGAGGCCCTGCAGGAGAGTCCCTTACTCCACACCTGGCTAGAGCAGGAAGTACCGAGTGCTACTGAGCCCAGGGAAGCTGGTTGGAGTGTGAGGGACACAGTCACTTGTGGCCTCATTACTCAAAAGCCGTCCCCAAGCCACTGGAGGATACAGACCTTTTCTGCTGAGTCTGTCTAGTGGACAGCAAGCCCTCACAGCTCAGCATAGCCAGAGAGAAAGTCGACTAGCACTGAGGACGCTGCCTCAGAGACGCCATGGCCCTGCCTAGAGAACACCCGGCCTGATGAGGCCTTAGCAAGGAGTAGTCCAGAAGAGAACAATGAAAAGGAGGAAATTGTAATTGAACTTCAAACCCCAAAGCAACCTGAGGTAGACCATATTCTCCCAGAGGCCCAGGGCTGGCTGTGCTCAGTGCTGGGGAGAAGCCTGGGATATCTCTGCTTTGGAAACCTGGTAGGAAAGGCTGGGGCCCAGCTCCCCCGAGCTGGCTGCTGTGCAGATGCTGGATGACAGAGCCAGGATGGAGGCTGCCAAGAAGGAGAAGGTAATTCTGCCTTATGAAGAGTTTTAGAAATGTCTGGTTTTGAGTACCCAACACTCGGGTTCATATGGCACCTGCAATAGTTTGTACCTTGGAATCAACTTTATATATAGGTTCTTTAAAGATGTGTCTGGGGTGCCCTGTGGGGCAGGAAGGCCCCTGCTTTCTAGACTGGCCCTGTGATCTGGGAGTCAGGCTGCCAGGAGGCCTGGAAAGCAGCCTCCACTGGGGAGAGGCTGGGAGGGAGTTCAGAGCCCCAGCTAGAGGGCTTGGGGGCTTGATTTTGACTCAGTAGACATCATGATAGGTCAAAGGCACCTCTTCCTCACAGGAAGCACCTACAAGATCCTGAGAGTTGAGGCTCCCTGGTGAGGAGTACAGAGAAGTTAGTTTCTCCAGCAACAAGGAGATCCAGGCATTCTCTGAACCAGCCCTAGGTTGAGCAGTGAGCAAGGAGAAAGGTGGGACAGAGGGCATTTGCTGTGAAATGTTGGGGAGAACACACCCACATCTCTCATGCTAGATACTGATCAGAACGAGAAAAGACATGATCAGTGAGCAGGATTCAGTCACTTTGGGCATGTTTTCCTCTGGCTTCTCTCCTCCTCTATGTGAAATGACATGGTCAGCATAAACACCCCGCTGGTCTGCTTCTAGCAAAGCTAATGATGTTAGGAGAAAAACAAGCAGCCCAAGTCATAGGGCCTGCACAGTGAAGTCAGAGGAAGGTGCCCAACCAAGTTTAGAGAAGAGATTATGCCCAAGGGGGCTACTTCAGACCATCTGGGGAGAAGGGAAACATGTTTTTTGGTTGATGCAAGCAGAGAAATTGCTAAAAGTGGTGAGAGCTGAGTGTATGGGCTGGAGATCTGGTGCTGTTCCCAAAATAGGGGAGAAACCATGGTGTGTGCATGTCTATGCTTTCATGCTTGTGTGTATACAATGCCCTTCAAAGAGTTGCCCCCAAACCCCTTCATTCACAGAAGCTTATGGGGTGAGATGTAACTCAGGCTGGTTGAGTATTGATTCTCAGAGTATGGGGCTGCCCATGCCCTTTCCATTTCTGCCCCACAGGGAGGGAGTGCTGGTCTTCACCAGGTCTGTGGACTTCAGGCCCCAGGGGGCTCAAAAATAAACTTTAAAGGAGTTACAAAATGTCAGTCATCAAGATATTTTTTAAAAATATTTACTTTTTAGTTGTAGTTGGACATAATACCTTTATTTAATGTATTTATTTTTATGTGGTGCTAAGGATCAAACCCAGGGCCTCACACATGCTAGGCGAGCACTCTACCACTGAGCCACAACCCCAGCCCCATCAAGATATTTTAAAAATATTTTTTTAGTTGTAGATGGACACAATATCTTCATTTTATTTGTCTTTATGTGGTGCTGAGGCTTAACTCAGTGTCTCATGCATGCTTAGCAAACACTCCACCACTGAGCCACAATCCCAGCCCTAACACAATATTTTTAAAAGATCAATATTAATTCAAAAAATTATGATGAGCAAAATATCAAATGCTAAATGAAAATAGAATGAGTATCACTAATTTTGGCACTATGCAGTAGGACCCAGGGTCAGATGAGGGCTGTGGAGCTGCAATGCCCATTCCCTTCCCCTCTTCTATGGCTGGTCAAGGATTCACCCCCCTTTCTTTTTCTTTTTTGTTTTGTTTTTAAATTTTTTTTTAGATGTAGATGGACACAATATTTTTATTTATTTATTTTTACATGGTGCTGAGGATCAAACCCTGTGCTTCACTCATGCAAGGCAAGTGCTCTACCACTGAGCTATAACCCCAGTCCCCCCCCCCTTTTTTTTTTTTAAAGAGAGAGTGGGGGGGGGACAGAGAGAGAGAGAGAGAGAGAATTTTAACATTTATTTATTTTTTCTTAGTTCTCGGCAGACACAACATCTTTGTTGGTATGTGGTGCTGCTGAGGATCGAACCCGGGCCGCACGCATGCTAGGCGAGCGCGCTACTGCTTGAGCCACATCCCCAGCCCCGAGTCCCCCCTTTTTTTGAGGGTAGCCTGACATATTTAGGATTGTCTTAAGCATCTGTCTTCTCTGAGCTTCCCAGGTCCCCAAGGTCTACTTTTTTTTTATCCCTGGGAAGTGCTGTCCCCTGCTCAAGCCCAGGTCTAAACTTCGAGCAGCAGGCAATATCTTTCTCACACTTTCAAAGTTGTTCCCTAGATTTCAACTGTGGTTGAATCTATGCAAGCTCCTAGAAGGAAAGGGGGCACTTAACCACTGAACCACATCCTCAGCCCTTTTTATTTTGAGATGGGGTCTCCCTAAGTTTCTTAGGGCCTCTCTAAGTTGCTGAGGTGAGCTTTGAACTTGCAGTCCTCCTGCTTCAGCCTCCCAAGTTGCTGAGATTACAGGCGTGCCCCCTCAAGTTTGGCCCATTTCCTTTTTTGATTGCATTAAAGGAGATCAATTTTGCTCTTTCTATTTCGCTGACTGTGCACAGCCATCTTGCTTGAACTGACCTTCAGGGACTCACCTGTGGTCATTCCTTTATGATCCGTAGAAGCAGCATGTCCAGTGGATTCCCCAGATGGCCCTCAGCTCCCAAGGGGCCAGCCTGATCCTACTAACATGCCCTTATTCCTTACAGCCTCTTCCCCACTAGCTATGGCCGCTGAGTACCCTCCACTTCTGGTCCATTCGTATGGCATTTTCCTCCATTTCTTGATGGACCATCACTTCAGGTGACCTGAATGTTAGGCCTTGAGGACTTTTTGGTCCGTATTTTCCTCTCCCTTCACTGTGGTCCTTCTGCTGGTCCAGAAAAACAACTGGGTGACCCACATTTTCCACAGATCACCTGGTGGGGTAATGAGGAGTTCACAGCAAGTATGTTTGTTAGCATGGCACTTTTGAGGTAGGAAACTGAAGAGGTACTATTCAGGTTTATTGATCAGCTGGGCTGCCATGCCAATACCATAGATGGGATGCTTTAGAAAAAGAAAATTGATTTCTTTCTGCCTATCTCTCTCTGTGTGTCTCTCTATTTCTGTCTGTCTTCCTCTGTCTCATTTCTACTACAAGAGCCTGATACAAACTTTGATCTTTTCAGGACCCAAGTCTAGCAGACTTGAGAATGTCATCTAAATAGAACACTGAGCCTGTTGGGAACAAGCAGGCAACAACACACCTGCATCCCTCTTCAGACACTGGTAGGCTACCAGGTTCCTTCCTTCATACCCATTCCGAAGGCCTGGGCCTTGTCCACTAGAATGAAGATGAGTTTTTCTTAGATTCATCATTAGCTTTTCTGTAGATTTAAAATTCCTACCACTCCTTCTCATAGAACTGCAAACAGTGTCAACTCTGCTTGAAAGTCCAGAGTGGCTGAGGCCCTTCCATAGTAGGACTAGAGGCCAGCTTGGCTGCTACTTCTACTTCATCTTCACTGGGCTCCAGGAGTGTCCCTGAGACTCAGAGGTGCACATGTGTGTCTGTGGGGTACATGTTTATGGGATCCCATGACAGTGAAGCCTCAGGCACAGGTGAGAATTGGCCAGAGCCAATGTAGTAAGGAACTGTTAGTAGGTGGAGGGCCATTGGGAAATTTTCCAGTCTCTCCAAACCCATTGAATTCCCAGTTCCTGTTTCTATCTCCATAGGCCACCAGGTATTCGAGCTCCTAGTTACCTGTAGCTCCTGCTACTGTTGCTACATCCCAGGCCTTGCTGATAGAGCCCTCTGTACCCTAGACAAGGTCTGTGTACTCCCCATATGCATATGTACCTGAGACTGTCCCTGGGGGAGGTAAGTGCTGGGCCTCAGTAGACAGACAAGCATTGGGGGTCCAGGGGCTGCCACTCAGCCTCTCTGGGCCCCTGGCAGGTCACTAATTGAAACAATGTTTTCCTGCATCAGCTGCTAAGGAAAGGAAGGAAACATTCCTGATAGAGTGGTTAACTGTGGGACAGAAGGTGACCTGAGTTAGAGGGAGAGGTGGACATAATTGAGGTGTGGGCACTCAAGTGACCAAAGGCTACAGCTCTGGTGTTTGTGGTCCAGCAGGTGCTGATAGCCTTGTCCCACTCCCTGTGGCTTTCTCACAGCTCATCTCTGTACACAACTACTCTAAGAAGTGAACATCTCCCCCCGTTCTGTGATGATGGAATGAAGGTTGACTAATGTCATGCTAAGATTGAACGGAAAATACAGACTGAGATGGAGCCAGACCTCTCAATTTTGAAGCCATGTGCATGGCTCCATGGCCCCCACAACACACAGGTTCACTGCCACTGCTCTGGACCATCCCAACGGCTACCTTGCAGAGCCTTTTACTAAGCAGCAAGTCTGAGAGCTCTAAGGGCCTCTTGAGGTGCTGGGGCAGGGTAGAAGGATGCTTCCTGCCCTAATCCCATGACACTGAAAATTATCTGTTGGTGTCAGCAGGACTGGTTGCTTCTGGGGGATCCAGAGAAGAATCTATTTCCTGTCCTTTTCCAACTTCTAGAGGTTGATGGAATTCCTTGACTCATGGGCCCTTCCTCTATCTTCAAAGGCAGTATTGTATTCTTTTCACCTCTGATTCCATCATCACTTCTTCTCTGACCTTTTCCTCCCTCTTCTATCTTATTTGCATCCTTGTGATGACATTAGGTTCACCCAAATAATCAAACATAATCTCCTGATTCTGAAGTTCTTAATTAAACCACGTCTGACAGTAAGTCCCTTCTGTCACATAAAGTCACACATTAATGGGTACTTTAAGTCATCTATAGGTCAGTTTTAACATCAACACAATATAAATGCTATGGAAATAGTTGTTACACTGTACTGTGTAGGGAATAATGAAAAGAGAGTGTATATACATGTTTAGTACAAACACATTTCTTCTGAATATTTTTGTTACATGTTTGGTGGAATCCATGGACACAGAACCCATGGATACAGAGATAACTGTGCACCACATATCCCAGCTCCCCCCAGGTGAGGTCTTCATGATCAACTGCTGCCTCATGCCAGGAACT